AATACAAAAGGCTAAGCCGTTTTCTCCACATCTTTCTTTCACTTAACATGGTTATCAGGTCTCTCTAATTTTATAGAGATTTTTTTTTTCATCGATCTTGGTTGGTTATTGTTTAATTCCGCAAATTTACTTGTTTGTTTGAGAAATTAAGGCTTCAATTTATTAACAATTACTGCAAATTCTGTTTTATTTGCTCCAACTAGGGCTCACAAACCCTAATTAATTTTGGTTCGAATTTATTTGGTACTGCATATCGTGGTATTCCCTAATTAATTTTGGTTCGAATTTATTTGGTACTGCATATCGTGGTATTCTCAAGTGCTGCGTGTCGTGGTGCTGTGTTTGCGCGACTCTGTTGTGTGCGTGTTTGGGTGCAGTGCTTTGTAGTGCTCCGTGTGTTTTTTGTGTGGTGCGTTAATTGCGTGCTGCTGCTCTGTTTGTTCTGTTTTGGTTAGTGCTGCAGTGTGTGCTGCGGTGTGTGCCGAGTTTTGTGTGCTGTCTAGTGGTGTGGCAGCTTTGGTGTGTTGGAGTTGCTCGTGGCCTCGTGGGTAGTAGGAGCTTGTTACACTTATTCTTTCTTGCGTGGTTGTGAGTAAGCTTTGTTGACATTGGAGCTTGTTCTTTATTTCTTTCAAGGCAGCCATATTTTATTTGTTGTCTTGCATTGATTATTTGTTCCTAATTAATCACTCGTTGATTTGTGGTTGTGTTCTTTTGTTTTCTATTCAAGAAAGCTATTATTATTAGTGGCTCTTTCTTTGGTTTATACTTGCTGCTAGTTTATTGTTTGGTGGGAGCAAGTTGGTTTTTTTTTTTTTTTATTGTGTATTGTGGTGGTGCAGTTTGGTTATATTTGGTGGTATTAGTGTATTTGGTGGTATTTGTGCTGCACTACGATCTTTGGTGATTGTTTGAGCTAGTTTGGTTATTTGCGTGTGGTTGGTGCGTATGGTTGGTGCGTTGTTGAGCTGGTTTGTGTTCTCTTTCAATGGGGGCTCAATCTAACCGTACATTTGAGCGTCTTACTAACGCAGATCGTAGGAGTGTTCCTACTATCACTGATGAGCAATGGAAAGAACTTCTATCTATCATTCAGTGCTCGAGTTCTTTGTCTCTTCGCACCTATAATTCTGTCGATTGGCTCATTGATACTGGAGCTTCAAATCATATGTATGGTAATATTGATTTATTTACAAATTTATCTGATATCTCGTCTCCTGTTGGTTTACCTAATGGGAAGAGCACTACTGCCACAAAAGAAGGGAGAGTTATTCTGTCTGATAATTTAACACTTGATAATGTTCTTTATGTTCCTGCTCTTAAATGCAACTTGTTGGCTGTGTCTCAGTTATTAGAAAAACAATCCTATTCTGTTATGTTCACTGACAAGCTATGCATAATTCAGGACCGCAGTTTGAGGAACCTGATTGGAGCGGGGGAGCAGTGTGATGGGGTCTATATTTTTCGTCCGGTTCGTGCTCAAAATTCTCGGGCAAACAAGTGGTAGTTTCAGATGCAAGTTTGTTATGGCACAAACGTCTTGGTCATCCGTCGATGCAAGTGGTTAGTTCTCTTTCGGGAGTTTCTCGTAGTACTCATGATCATAATAGTTCTTCTGGTTGTTTGTTTGATTGTGATATTTGTTTTATGGGGAAGCAACCCCGTAACTCCTTTCCATTATTGAGTACAAATAGAGTATCTGGTATATTTGATTTGATTCATTGTGATATTTGGGGTCCGAATAAGATTTTGTCTAGTTGTGATGCTCAGTATTTTCTTACCATTATTGATGATTTTTCGCGTTCTACTTGGGTGTTCTTAATGGTTGGTAAATATGAAGCTTCTCAGTTGGTTCGTGAGTTTTGTGCTATGGCTAAGACTCAGTTTGGCCGTAAGGTCAAGGTGGTTCGTAGTGATAATGGTCAGGAGTTTCTTAGTTTAGGTTCTTTCTTGCTAAGAAAGGCATTTTGCATCAAACGTCATGTGTTGACACGGCTCAACAGAATGGTAGAGTAGAGCATAAGCATCGTCACATTTTTAAACGTAGCTCGTGCTCTTCGGTTTCAGGCAAAGTTGCCCAAGTATTTTTGGGTGAGTGTGTTATGACGGTTGTTCATCTCATTAATCGCACACCTACTCCGGTTTTGAATGGTAAAACCCCTCATGAATGTTTGTTTGGTCAAGTACCGTCTTATGATGGTTTACGGGTTTTTGGTTGTCTTGCTTATGCTGCGAATCGTCCTCGGGTTAAAGATAAATTTGATTCTCGTTCCAGAAAATGTATTTTTGTTGGTTATCCTCACGGTAAGAAAGGTTGGCGTCTTTATGATTTAGAGACAAATGAATTTTTTGTTAGTCGGGATGTTCAGTTTTTTGAGGATAAATTCCCATATCTCGAGTCACTTCCGGATGAGCAGAGGCTTTTGTGGGAACGATATTTTTCAAATCCCCGGTGTGGGATGATGGTGATGCATTTTTGGGGACAAATAGCGGTGTACAAAGGGAAGGAGTCGCGGTCAAAACAGTTAACCCCGCAACCTGGCCGCGGGAGCAGCTGCCCAGCCGCGATCAGGCTGCGGAGCAGCCTGCTTCGAGCTCCTCCCACGCAGCAGATGCAGTAGCAGGTGCAGCAGGGCAGCCAGCGCCCGCTGGCCAGGCGCTTTCCCAGCAGCAGCAAGGCACAGGCCAGCTCGCCGCTTTTCCAGCGCCCGCTGGTGGTGCTTACGGCCAGCCACCACCCAGCAGTGTGCAGTAGCCAGCACAGCAGGTCCCCAGCCACGGGCAGGCTGTGGGGCAGCCTGTTTTGTCATCTTCCTCGACTACTTTCTCTTCTTCTTCGCCCAGTGTTAGTTGTAACGATGTTTCAAAGGATAGTTTTAGCTCGGGGGTTGTTCAAGAACGTGAATTGGATGGTGAGAATATTTTTATTTCTCCGAAATATTTGAGGGGGAGTTCGTCGGATAATTTAGGTTGTGGACATCGTGAAAAACGTCCTTCGTGGCATCGGAATTATGTTACTCATACTATCATTTCTGAAAATATAGACCCATCTACATCAACTGTAGTCCCTCCTCAATCATATTCTTCAGGTAAACCTTTCCTTATAGCTTGTCATGTTGAATATAATCGTTTTTCTAACAGACACAGGTGTTTTATGGCGACGATCACTAAGGGAAAGGAACCGTCTTCATTCAAAGAGGCGGTTAAAGACGTCGGTTGGCGTAAGGCTATGCAAGATGAGATTGATGCTCTAGAACGCAATGGCACATGGATTGTTGTGGATCTTCATCCAGGCAAGAGGGCTATTGGTAGTGGTTGGGTGTACAAAATCAAGTACACAGACAAATCAAAAGTGGAACGTCTCAAGGCTCGTTTGGTTGTTTATGGAAACCGTCAAGTTGAAGGTGTTGATTATAATGAGACGTTCGCTCCAGTTGCAAAGATGACTACGGTACGTATCTCATTAGCTGTTGTTGTGTCTTTGAATTGGGAGTTACATCAGATGGATGTTCATAATGCATTTCTTCATGGTGATTTGGATGAAGAAGTATATATGCAGTTTCCTCCAGGGTACGGTACTCCGACACCTGGCAAAGTTTGCAGGTTGGAGAAATCTTTATATGGCTTGAAACAAGCCCCGAGACAGTGGTTTTCAAAACTGTCAAGTGCTCTGCGAGGTTTTGGGTTTAAAAACTCATATGCTGATTACTCTCTATTTAGCTATGTACAGGGCAATGTCTCTTTGCATGTTCTTGTATATGTCGATGACTTGATCATTGCAGACTCCTTTCATGATACAATTGTTCGTTTTAAAGCCTATTTGAGCAAATGCTTCTATATGAAGGATTTGGGTTTGCTTAAGTATTTCTTAGGCATTGAGGTTGCTCGGAGTCCCGCGGGCATCTTTCTTTCTCAACGAAAGTATGCTCTTGATATTTTAACTGAGGCAGGAATGTTGGGTTGTAAACCCATTGATACTCCGATGGAGCAGAATCATTGTCTTGCACATGCTTCCGGTGAGCCGTTCGCTCATCCGGAACAGTATCGTCGTTTGGTTGGTCGTTTGGTTTACTTGTCGGTCACTCGACCGGAGTTGAGTTATTCAGTGCATGTTTTGGCACAGTTTTTGAGTGTTCCACAGGTTTCTCATTGGGATGCGGTCATTCGTGTCTTGCGCTATCTTAAGGGTAGTCCGGGACAAGGTATTTTGTTGCGACCTACGACAGATTTACACTTGACGGCGTTTTGTGATAGTGATTGGGCAGCGTGCCCGTTGAGTCGGCGTTCCTTGTCAGGTTATTTTGTTTTCTTAGGCGTTCCCCTGTTTCTTGGAAGACTAAGAAACAGCCAACTGTAGCCACATCCTCATCTGAAGCCGAATACAGGTCTATGTCCCTCACTTCTCGTGAGTTGAAATGGTTGAAAATGTTGTTGTTTGTTCTTGGTGTTAAGCATTCAAAGTCTATGCAGTTGTTTTGTGATAATCAGTCGGCTTTGCATATAGCTAAGAATCTAGTGTTTCATGAACGTACGAAGCATATTGAGGTAGACTGTCATTTTGTTCGTGATGAGTTGATAAACGGTAATATTTCTACCTCATATGTTCCGACAGGTCATCAATTAGCAGATATTCTCACCAAGGCTCTTGGACGTCAGCAGTTTGGTTTTCTCTTACGCAAGTTGGGCATTCGTGATTTACATGCTCCAACTTGAGGGGGAGTATTAGGAGTTTGGTTTGTTATATTTATGTTAATATTGTATGTTTGACAAGTCTATCTTGTTAGGAGTTTTAGGCAAGTTAGGTATTCTATTGTATTGAGTATATATTGGTGATTAATGGAATACAGAAGGCTAAGCCGTTTTTCTCCACATCTTTCTCCACTTAACAAAAATTAAAAAAAATACTTCATACTATAAGTCTATAAGCCTAGTTTATAATTTTTTAAACTATTAGTCAAGCCTATTGTTACAATTAATGTGAACTGGAGAGAGTATTAAAAATGACTTGTAATGAGAAAACATAGGCACAAAAGCTTCAACGAACACATTCAAGGCGAAAATTTATTAAAAGCCTTATTTTCTGCATGGCCATTTGACACGCACCAAAAACACTAATTAGATAACGGGTAACCCCTGACTGATCAAGTATCCCACAGGCCACAACTCCTAAGCCAAAATTAGGCTGCCTCAAACACAAAATAACCACCCGTCCACCACCTTGAACAACGTCTACACCAAGCAAACAAATATCTGATACAACATACAACTTTTTCAATAACATTCAAACTTCACTTCCACCTATTTCCAATATCCTCCAAACCCAGAAAATATGACTGAAAACGTCAACTACGAACGACAATACGACAACGACGACGACAGATTAAGCTCACTTCCCGACGCCATCATCACCGTCATACTCTCTCTCCTCCCAATCGACACCGCCGCCGCCACCTCCGTCTTATCCCACCGTTGGCGCCGCCTCTGGACCGCCGTCACTAGCCTCGAATTTCACGCAGATGGTTCCACCTTCACCACCACCGCCGACCACATCTTAGCTCAGCTTACGGCTCCGACACTCCGCGTTTTCCACCTTTCTCTCACTTCGCCGTCCGAATTGCCGGAATCCGATTCGCTTGAATCGAGTTTCCGTGAAGTTTGTCGCCGGAATGTGGAGAGTGTTTTTATTGATGTAAGATGTTCGTTTTATGAAGAATTCTTTTATGTTCCTGTTTGTTTGTTTAATTCTGTTGTGATTTTGGATTTGGAATTGGTTGGTAAGCTTAAATTTGATTTTGCTGATGACGAAATTGGAGGTGTTGTACTTCCAAATTTGAGGAAATTGAGTTTGAATTATCTTCTTGATGTTCCGTTTTGGTTGGGGAATTTAATTAGGTGTTGTCAAAAATTGGAGGATTTAGATTTGGTGTTTAAATTGGATGTTGTTGAGTCTGAAATTGCGGATTCTGTGAATATTTGTGCTCTTAATTTGAAGTTGTTGAAGATTGATTTGGAGTTTGTTGGTCAGACACAGCATATTAATATATCTATTGATGCGCCTCAATTGGAGTATCTTAATTTGCGTGATTGTACTTCGTTTTATGATTTCGTTCGGAGCCCAACTAGATTGGTTAGAACATGTATTGATTTGATTAAGGAGGAGCGGTATCTTGAGGATGAAGATGATATGGATTGGTTGCCTAGTGGCGATTATCTTCGCCACATGTCTAAGTTTATTGGAGGGATGTGTAGTGTTAGTAGCCTTGATTTAAAGCTTGACAGTGATACCAATATATTTACTCACCTTAGCTCTGTGGGTAATGGGTTTCTACCAGTATTCCGAAATCTAACCAATTTCGAAATGACCTTGGATGGTATCGGGCTAAATGGTTGGAAGGATTTGATACTTTCGCTGCAATGCTTTCCTAACTTAAAGCATCTTGAGGTTAACATGGAAGGTGATCCCCCAATGGATCTTAATCATTGGTCTGAACCAGGTTCCGTGCCTGATTGTTTGGTAAGTAAGATGAAGACTATACAGATAAGGGGGCTTATTGGAATTGATGATGACCTCAAGTTGTTGGCATACATTCTGAGTAACGCAGTTGTTTTGAATGAGCTTTGCTTAGATGTTTGTATGAGGGATGACTCTAATGATTTACTGTGGAAGGAACGTAAGTTCTGTATGTCCTTGTTCAAGCTCCCTAGGAAGTCATCAACTTGTGAGATTGTGTTCTCGGGAAGGTCTGCCACAACATCAAGTAGTGCCTTTGAAGATGAATACCTTACATGTCAAATGTATTTGGCCGATTGATGATTTGACATTATAGTGGCAACTTCTTACTCTTCAAAAGCCAACATTAGAGCACTTGGGTGGCAGGTATTGACTACCCAATTTCATTTGTATTTAATTTAATGTATGCATATAGCTTGGTTTCTGCTTAAAGTTATTTTTGAAGTGCATATAGCTTGGTGTGTATTAGTGTATAAAAGCTTGCTTTGTACTTGTCTATTTGATTAGTTCTGTGTGTACTGTGTAAACTTCTTCCACTAATACAATGGCAATTGTTATTGTAGATTCTAGTCTTTTCTCTTCTCCATATAGCTATGGTGTATTTTTGTTCCAATTATGACTTATAATGTAATGTTCTGTATGTTACAATAATAGTAAATGAATTTCTAATATTACACAAATGAGCAGGCAAGTAGTTCATATGATCAGAGTACTGTTTTTACCCTGCCAGGTGATCACATAGCCACCTTAGAATTCAATAGTTGTGAAGTGTTAAATTGTGCTAAGTGCATATTGATTTTTAGTAAAGGGTGAACACACAAGTAGTCGTCTGAAATCAAAGAAGATATAGAAGTGATAACTCATCTGTTTGAGGGGATTATCTAGTTTACATTCTACTTGCAATTGCAAACAACAGTCAGTGATGATTAATAACTTTGTAGAATACCTTAACTTTGGAGTGTGCCGTAAGGCTTAAATGATATTGTGGTAAATAACAATATTCCAAACTGAACCTCTTTATCTTGTTTTCTATTTTTGTAAACTATTAACTATGTAATAGCTTCAGGTTATATGATAGATTATAGACTGGCCAAGAGATGGCAAAGATTTAGCTATGCTAATAAGGGAACCAAGGATGGAGCAGAAAAAGAATGTTGTGCATAAAAGGCGCCTGTTTTGCTCCCTAAGGGAGTGTTTAGTTGGGTAGAAGGAAAGTGATATTTACCATTATTTTTTCCCTTAAAATGTGTTATCCATGGTAATTCATTGTTCATTAAAAATGTTTCCATCAAACCAAGTGGAGCACTGGAGCCTAAGAGTCAGAAGGATGTAACTTAGGAAGAGGAAAATGAAAAGGTCAAAAGGCATAAAGCCTAGTTGCTTTTGCTTATTTATTTGATACACATGTTAAGGGAGCTCCTGCAAGTATTAAAAAATGTGTAGGAAGTTTAGCTTGGACTCCTTTGAGCCTAGGAGATTCATTGCAAATTTGATCCCATGGAACTAATACAACCCCAAGTGGACAAAATCTAAAACTTTCTTAAGTTGCTAGGTATTTGCCTCATTTTGTTGAGTATATATGTCTTTTGCTGTAAATCTAAGCCCTAATCACTGGATTTTTATTTAAATCAATTTATCAGCGTTAGATTTTAGTTTATTCCTGTGAAAACATATGTGAATTTAAGAGATGCCGGTCACATATTTTTAGGAGATGAAAATGTATTGGTATTAGAATGTTCAAGATGAATAGGTGCTGGATGTATGAATGCTCTTAACTGTAAGTGGTTAAATCAAATAAGATAAAGATAATGATAATTTGGAAAAAGTAGATTTGGAATAATCTGAATGTCCCTAAGCATCAATTTGTTAGTTGGCTTGCTGTACAATGACAACTTGAGGTTAAATTACTAGGTGTGTCCTTTGGTAAAACCATGGCAGTTTGTTTAGTGTGCTTTGCAGCTGATGGATAACTAAGAAGTGCAAAGGTCTTAGTGTCCTACATGTTTCTGCAGGAAGGTCCTGTTTCAGGGAATTTGATCATTTCGTTTCTTACCAGTGATAGTGAACAGAAGCTGGTAATGGTTGATGAACTTGTAAAGAGCCCAGTTTATGACATCTATATATGATTTATTTCATAGCAGAGACTGCCTTGAGCCCTTGATGCTTGGACACTAGTGTACTGTGCAAATCTCTCATTAACGAGTCTAGAAAACAGGCGAAGTGTATAATGTGCCTCTTGCCTCCTGGAGTCCTGGCATGTCATTTTGTAAATTAGCTTGTGTTCATGTCCAATTAAACTTACTCGAACATCATAAAATAAGAATAGCTTTTAGTGCTAGATTAGGCTAGGGAGGGGAAAGGGCAGAAGAAAGGATGTCCTGACTCATGAGAGAAGGGGTTTAGAAGGAGAGGGTGAGCGCTCAAACGGCAGTAAATACTAAATAGCTTCTAAGTTCTGATTGTTACTGATTTCTAGTTTTATCTGGTGCACAAAGATGTATTCTTCCCAAGCTGTTAAAAAACTATTGTTATGACTATTAATTCCCTTTATATAAAGTTGTACAGCTGATTAATGAGAACAGGTTATTCATAACTGGTGGTCTATTTGTAAAGTTAAGACTAAGGCAGAGGATCAAAGTAAGAAACTGCTTACTATGTACTTTTTTTTTTTTTTTTCTTTTTCTTTTATTTATTTTTAATAAAAATAACTGAGAAAATGTGTGGTTTTTTCATTTTTTGTAACATGAAGATACCTAGTCATCTGATTGGCAAGTGAAAGTTGCCTTCTTTTTTCTCCCCATTAGTCATTACTACCTATGAACCTATCTTACCTTTTATTCTTCCAAAATCAAATATTTATCATAATTTTATTACGAAGTAGAAAATTGTGCCCAAAAATATTTACTCCATCATTTTACTTTTCCCAATATTGAAATGTATTCCAATACAGTAATACTCTATATATAAGTACAATGAACTAAGGATTATTTTTTGAAAACGAACTACAGATTATAATACTCTGTATATTTTTAATTAAAATAAAATGCAAGTACAATGTATTAATAAATAATATCATGTAATTTCCAATGAATTTATATGCATAGTGTGTACGAGTATATTTTGATTAAAAAAAAAAAAATTTATACGGAGCAAGTACAATGTATAATTAGTGCATTAATCTAAATGAAATTTAATAATGTACCTTTTTCAACTACGGAGTAAAAAAAAATAAAAATCTAAGTACAATGTACGATATAAGTGCAATGTACCATTATAATTATAAGTACACAATAAACCTTTGTTTCTTAATTATCAAAATTTCACATTAACGTTAGTTGTAGGACCAAGAGAGTATAAATTTATAATTCCCACTTGAGAGTGAAAGTGGGACTGTGAGAGTGAAAAAAATGGTTGATGGCAAAATTATGAAATGCTATATCAGAAAACAGCGCAGAAGGTCGAGGGCGGAAGAAGAAGACAGGTTGAGCTCACTTCCTGATGTCATTCTCACCAACATTCTTTCTCGTCTCCCTATCCATGTTGCCATCGCAACCTCCGTCTTATCCCACCGATGGCGCCGGGTCTGGACCGGCATCACCTGCGTTGAAATCGTTACTTGTAGAACATCAGGAGTTGCCGCCATGTTTGACTGCATCCTACGACAGCTTACATCCCGGAAGCTCCACGTCTTTGATCTTGCTCTGCTAGAGGTGTTTAAATCTCCGGAAATTAGTGAATCAGAAATAGAATTATGGGTCCGTGAAGTTTGCAGTCGAAATGTGGAGGATATCAGGATCGATGCACATTATGATAGTCAGTTTTGTGTACCCGCTATTCTGTTCAATTCACAATCTCTGGTAACTTTGAAATTATGGGGCTTGCTTCAGTTTAAATGGCCGGAAATTGGGAGCTTATGCTTTCATCTACCTAATTTGAAGTCACTTAACCTTTGCAAGCTTATTGATGTTCCTCTTTCGTTGGGGACTCTATTAAGATCTTGCCCTCATTTGGAACATTTAGATTTAGACTTCGATCTAGCTGATAATCTACATTTTTCATTGTCTAGTTCTGTTGTGAATATCATTGCCCCCAATTTGAAATCATTGTCTATACATATGCTATACACTCCCGGGCAAATTAGTGTATATATCGATGCACCCAAATTGGAAAACCTGAAAATTGAGAATTTCTATTCAATTTATTACTTTCTCCGGAATCCAACTGTGTTAAAGGAAGCGCGTATTGAATTGATGCATGATGAATGGTATGGGCTGGAGTCAGATGATGAAGAGGAGAAAGAGCTGGATTATGGCTCATTGTCTGAAGCACGAAAAGAATATCTTCACCAGATGACCAAGTTTGTTGGAGGAATGTCTACTGTTACCAATCTTGAGCTAAGGCTAGAGAGTCTGACCAATATATTCAAATATCAAAACCCTGTGAAACTGCCAATCTTTTCTAACGTAGCCCATCTCGAAACAAATTTCTTGAAGGATTTGATGTTTTCCTTACATTGTTTTCCCAACTTAGAGCATCTTAAGGTGTCAGATTGTGATGATAAAATGGAGCAAAGTAGTTTGTGTACACCAGATTCAATTTCAGATTGTTTTGATAAGTAAGCTCACAAGACTATACAAATATGGAGACTGAAGGGAACTGATGATAACCTCAGGTTTCTGGCATACATTCTACGTAATGCTTTTGTTTTGGAAAAGCTTCTCGTAAAATTTCATATGGTGGATGGGGAATATGACAAATATGAACGCGAAAAAGCATATGCAGTGTGGAAGGAATGTCAGTTCTGTAAATCATTGATGAAGCTTCCAAGGAGCTCTTTGACGTGTCAGCTTGAGCTTTCTGGTCGGTCTGTTATAGCATCAGGTAATGGCTTACAAGGTGGATACCTTCCATGTCAAATTTTTATGGGCTGATAAACCTGATGTATGCAACTTGTTTTTTCAAATGCAACATTCAAGCTTATGGGTTGTAGGGATTGACTACTGAATTCCGATTGATTTTTGGTTTATATGCATAATTGCGTGTAGTTTAGGGCTTAACAATGTTTCTAGAAATCCTGGATATGTAACAGGGTATTCTAGCCTTGCTATGTACTGGTCTTTACTCTTTTCTATTAAGTTTTTATGTATTATTCTATTCCCTCCATCCCTAAATTACATTCCCCTTTCTAGCATTTATTCCTCACATAATAGAGAGAAAGAGGAATGTAATTTAGGGACGGAGGGAGTAGTTCTTTTACTTTTCTCTATGACTATGGTAAGTCTCTCATTTATTTATTAATAACTTAGTGTACGTAGTATGAATTCTGAAGGACGTTTATTAAAATTAGCAAAGAATCCAAAAGCTCACTGGTAATAAAATGGTAGATTAATTAGCCACTCATCAATGAGTATAGAAAACAGGTCGAGTGTACCGTGTACGTCTTGCCTCCTGCCCTCTGGACTGTCATTTTGAAAATTAGCCTGTGTTCATGAACTATGCTCAAGATAAATTGAAGTAGCTTACTCCACAAGGTCAGGTGAGGGAGGGACAGAAGAAATGAGAGAAGGAGGGGTTAGAAGGAGAAGACGAGGTCAAATGGCAGTAAATAGCTGATGGTTGCTAATTCATAGAATTAGTATCTGGTGCACAAAAATGTATTCTTCCCTAGCTGTTCTAAACTAAGTTATGTGTATCATTTCCCTTTATATTAACATATACAGCTGACTGATAAGAAAATGGATCTTCGCAACTGGTGATCTATTTGTAAATGAAACCAAGGCAGATGATAAAAGTTATGAAACTGCTTGAAACATTTCCATCTGTATATAGACATTTGACATGTTAACGCGGAGTAAAGATTACTAAGAAAAGGTGGGGGTGGGAAATTTTTTGTAACATGAAGATTACACATGATGGGAGTTCAGGAAGCCTGTATATTCCCTATCTGTTCGACTGCTAAAGTTAGGCAGCTTCTCTTTGTGCTTATACAATTGATCTCAGGTTTTTGCACTCTCCTAGTCATCTTTCTACTTTGTAATTCACAAGTTAAAGTTGGCTTCATTTTACCTTAATTTTATTTATAATTCATGTTAAATACAAATGTACAATAAGCTAGATATAAAAAGAAGGTACTGTGAAACACATGACCATGATTTATTGTCTACTTCCGTGTGGAAAATAATATTGCAGGTGATGTTAAGTTATTCTAATATTGCCACTTTGTTTAGCACCATCAGGAATAACTAACCAGAGTCCTGTTCCTCTGTGCCATTCTGAGACTCAGAACTCATGACGAATCACCGTAAGTATGATGAACCATCACTGTCTAATATACAATTAGGAAAAATTGCAAAAAAATAATACAATCTTTGGTTGGTTTTTAATTAATAATACAATCTTTCGATTATTCTTTAATATTACAATCTTTAGGGGGTGTTGAATTTTAACAGGCAAAAACTGGTTGGTAACCTGTTTTTACAGGTTACCTTAACACATGTCATCTTTATATTGGTTTTGACGATTTAATTTGATTTTTAAAATATTTTTCTTTTTTTAAAAGATAAAAAATAATAAAAAGGCTTTTATTATTAAAAAAAAAAAAAAAAAACCACCACCCAACCACCACTTCCCCACCATCCTGCCACCATTCCCTCTGCCCCAGCCAGAAACCCGACGGTCGGCCGGCGTTCAGTTCACCCCCTATTCCCCAACCAGGCCGAAACTCCCACACAGCCCCCGATTCCACCCCTTCTCGACCACCGCAGCCTACCTCCACCACCCAGAACTCCCACACAGTGGCGGACTTGGGCTTAGACCTGGTGGGTCAAGTGACTCACCAGGCCCAAAAAAAAATTTTAAGTTAATTTTTTTAAAAAAAAAAAAATAAAATAAAAAAATCAGTTTTCCCAAATTCACGAATTCAGTATTTCAGTTCATGGCCTTCAATCCTTCATGCCCTAGCCAATTCGCCTCTTCCCTAATTCCCTTCAAGGCTTCAATCCTTCGCCATCATCAATCACCTATTCACCTCCATAATCGCCTCCTCCAGTCCTCCTCTTCGCAGTTCGCAACTCGCAACTTCGCAAGTAAGCATCTTCCTCACTCCTCAGTTAGTCAGTTCCTCTTCGCAGACTCGCAGTTCGTGCCTTCGACCCTTCGTCTTCCTCTTCGCATAAATTCAGGTGAGGTTAGTCTTCCTCTTCGTCTTCCTCAGTTAGTCTTCATCTAAATTTGTTTAATTGTTGATAACTTGATAACTTGATTGTCTTGATAATTGCTTGATTGCTTCGCTAATCGCTAGACGCCCAGTGGCCCTAGACGCTGCCTAGACGCCTACTGAGTACTGATTATTGTTAATTGTTAATTTTGTTATATATTGTTGACTTTGTTGTGATTTTGTGAATTGTTCAATGAAATTCTGAATGGTGAATTTGTGAAATGTTTGACACTTTAGTTCCTCTTCGTCTTCCTCAGTTCCTCTTCGCATAAATTAATTAATTAACTTAGTCTTCATCTAAATTTGTTTAATTGTTGATAATTGATATTACTTGTTAGTTATGAATTAGTAATACTAAATTTGATTCTTTGAACCCTAAATCCCTAATTGTTCAATAATCAACTCAATTGTTCAATAATCAACTCAATTTCAATAATCCCTAATTGTTGTGATTTTGTGAATTGTTCAATGAAATTCTGAATGGTGAATTTGTGAAATGTTTGACAATTGACACTTTACATACTTGTTCAAGCTGTGATGCTATGATGCTGGCCTGCTGCCCTGTGAGCTTGTGATTTCAAGCTGTGAAATGGTGAATTTGTTAATTGTTCAAGCTGTGATACTGCCTGCTGGCCTGCTGCTCGCCTAGTCGGCAGTCGCCTGCTGCCCTGCTCCACTGCTCGAGAGTCGAGAGCGTGCTCTGCGCTCACCGCTCTTCGCTTCGTCGCTTCTTCTAAAGTCTAATCTCCTATTCTCATTTTGCTAGTAAGTTGATTTCTAATTTTTAGTTTAAAATTCTAATCTTCAATTTAATCAAGTCTAATTAGTTAATTCTATTAAACTTTGGTTGATTTGTTAGTTGTTCACTTCAAGTCTTCAATCACTTGTTTGTTTGGTAAACTTTGAACCTTTTGTTAATGAGTAATGACCTTAATGTAATAATGTTGTTGGGTTTTAGATGAAATTTGAACCTTTTTGACCATGTGAATATGTGATTATGTGAATTGTGGTTTGTTTGGTAAAATGATCTTTGTAAATAATTTTTCTGGGGAATTTTGCTTGCTTTAGTTGATTATTTATTCAAATTTCAGAATGAAGAGAAAACGCACTCCAAATGAACTGCAAAACATTACTAGCTTCTTTGCTAAAAAGAATCCTACTTCAACTTCTCTTCCACATCCCACACAAAATGAACAAACTATATCTCCACCTCAACAGAGTGAACAAACTATATGTCCACCTCAAGAAAGTGAACAACATTCATCTCCATCTAATTATTCCACTCAAAATTCCCCTCAAAATGAACAAGGCCAATGTTCTCCTAATGCCCCAATCTTTGGTGAAAGATTAAGTGAACATGAATTTGCTAATCTTCCACAAGATCCAGGAAAGAGGAGAAAGATGAGTCAATTTCATAAAGATGATAGAGATTTAGTGAGAAGAATTTACATTCAAAGAAAGCCTTGTCAGCCCAAAGACTTTATATTTCCTCAAACTTCTATTTTTGGCAAAAACCGTCGCTTTTGTGCTAAGTGGTTTGATACTTGGACTTGGCTTGAGTATAGTGTGGAAAAGGATGCTGCCTATTGTTTCCCTTGTTATCTATTCAAGGATGAAAATGCATTTGGAGGTGATGCTTTTGTTAGTGATGGTTTCAAATCATGGAATCGATCGGATTTAATAAGAAAACATGTGGGTAAGCACACGAGTGCACATAATAATGCAGTGTTAGCTATGGATTTGTTCAAGAAGCAAAAGTCAAGCATCACACAAGCCTTGACAAAACAAACCGCTGAGAGTACAAATGCATATAGGATGCGACTTGAAGCTTCAATTGAATCAATCCAATGGCTTTTACTCCAAGGGTTGCCTTTTCGTGGTCATGATGAAAAAGAAAGTTCCTTAAGAAGAGGTAACTTTCTTTCACTTTTATCCCTTATTTCCAAAGGTAACCCTGAATATTCTAAAGTTGTTTTCAAAAATGCTCCTAGTAATTGTCAACTTACTTCTCCAAAAGTCCAAAAAGATATCATAAATGCATGTGCAAAAGAGACAACTAAAGCAATGCTTGAAGATATTGATGGTGGTTTGTTTTCTATCCTTGCTGATGAGTCCGCTGATGTTTCTGACAAGGAACAATTGGCTCTTTGTTTGAGATATGTTAATAGAAAGGGAGAAGTGTGTGAGCGTTTACTTGGTATTGTGCATGTTGTAAACACTGCTTCTTTGACTCTCAAAACTGCTATTGAATCCTTATTAATGGAGCATTCTTTGTCTTTCTCTCAAGTACGGGGTCAGGGTTATGATGGGGCAAGTAATATGCAAGGTTCTATTAATGGCCTTAGGACTCTTATAGAGAATGAGTGTAAAGAAGCTTATTTTGTCCACTGCTTTGCTCACCAACTTCAATTGACTCAAGTTGCACTTGCTAAAAAGAATTCAGATTGTGCTTGGTTATTTGTTGATGTACTTGCACCTCTGTTGAACTTTGTGGGGGGTTCACCAAAAAGGAAAGAGTTTCTTCGTGAAAATCAAGCTCAAAGAGTGGTGGATGCTTTGTCTCTAGGTGAACTTGAAACGGGTTCAGGTTTAAATCAAGAACGTGGATTAGGTAGACCTTGTGATACTCGTTGGGGATCTCACTTCAAGACAATCTTGAATGTACTTGACTTATTCCTGTAATCCTTGGTTCTCTTGAGGATATTGCAAAAGTATCTGATACAATAGATTCTAATAGAGCTCAAACACTTACAAATCTTCTGATGTCCTTTGATTTTGTGTTTGTGGCACACTTGATGGTTAGTATATTTGCGATAACAAATGCTTTGAATGTGGCCTTACAAAAGCACGATCAAGACATTGTGAATGCAATGGCCATGGTTAATGTAACCAAGACTAATTTGCAAAAAATGAGAGATGAAGGATGGGATTCTCATATGGAACAGGTCATTTCTTTTATTGGTGACTATGACATTGCAGTTCCAGATATGGAGGCTAAATATGTTGTTCCCGGGAGGAGGTTGTTTCGAGGTAAATGCCCACAAGTGTCTAATTTACATCATTTTCGAGTTGAAGTTTTTTTTGGTGTCATTGATCTTCAATTGCAAGAACTTGAAAATCGATTTCCCGAAATAACTAAAGAACTACTTGTGTGTATGTCTTGTTTGAGTCCTGTGGATCGTTTTTCTAAGTTTGACAAGGAAAAATTGATTAAGCTTGCAAAATTCTATCCTAATGAATTTCCAAGTTCAGAATTGATAGTCTTTGGTCATACACTTGAGAGTTACATTTGTTCTGTTAGAGGAGATAACAGGTTTTGGAATTTGAAGGGTCTTAGTGAGCTTTCAATCAAATTGGTTGAAACGGGATTGTCTGAAACTCATGATAGGGTCTATTTACTTTTGAAGTTGGTGTTGCTTCTTCCTGTCGCAACGGCAAGTGTGGAAAGGGTATTTTCTGGCATGAAGCAAGTGAAAGACAAACTACGAAATAGCATGGGAGATCAAATGTTGAATGATTGTTTAATTACTTATTTGGAGAATGATTTGTTTTTGAATGTTAGCATGGAAGATATCATGAATCGATATCAAAACATGAAAACTCGTCGAGAACTATTGTAATTTGTAATAAGTTTGCATTACTATTTAGTTGTCGTTTGTAGTATTATATGAACATTTGGTTGTATTTTGTACTGTTTTGAATATTTGGATGTATTTTTTAGTACTATTATTTGGTTGTTCGGTAAATTTTTTTTTTTTAGATACTTGATTATCGATTGTGACTCACCAGTCGGAAATTCCTGGGTCCGCCACTGCTCCCACAAATCGCAGCCAAAGAACCGCGACCAACCTTATTCTTCACGAACAACAGCCTTGTTGTCGTTCCCGATCCTCGAACCAACGATAAAATCCCCAATTGCGGTTCAACTTAGAGCCAACGTATCTCTTGATTTAGGGTGGTTTGGGCGGTTTCAAGCGACAATTCAAGCTAACACTTCAAGTGGTTTCAGGCAAATATTTGGTCAGATGCTCAGGCGCGCGAGTTGTTCAGGCGAAAATTCAGCCTGTATCTGGCAAAAATTCAGGCTATTCCTTTCGATTATTGGTGTAATTTTTGGGTGTTTCCTGTTGCAATTTTCAGGTCACTTCCAGGGCGTTTAGGCGGGGTTTCCATGCGACCGGTCGGTCCTTGGGTGGGGGAAGAGGGCTGCGTGTAGGGGAGGGGGAGAGGTGGCGGTGGTGGTGGGGAGGTGGTGGCAGGTTGGATTTTTTTTTTTTATCAAAAAATTAAAAGTTATTAAGTGGAGCGATTTCCGTAAATAATGCTAAAATAAAAAATAATTCCGTGTATACGTTGTTTTAAAAAATATTTCCCACCAAACCGTCCACGTAGGCTCAGATTTTTGGCTTTTTTTTGCTATTAATAAACCGCTAATAAAGATTGCGGTTCTACACAAATTAAAACCGCTAATTGTATTAGAGGTTCTTCAAATAGAACCTCTAATACCATTAGCGGTTCTATTTGAATAACCTGAAATGGTTAGAGGCTCTTTAAATAGAACCTCTAATGGTATTAGCGGTTCTATTTGAATAACCTGAAATGGTTAGAGCTCTTTAAATAGAACCTCTAATGGTATTAGCGGTTCTATTTGAATAACCTCTAATACCATTAGCGGTTCTATTTGAAGAACTTGTAATGGTTAGAGGATCTTTAAATGGAACCTCTAATGGTATTAGCGGTTCTATTTGAAGAACCTCTAATACCATTAGCGGTCTTATTTGAAGAATATAAACATTAAGCCTAATAAGTTACTGAGTATTTTAAGTATAAACCGCTAATGTCATTAGCGGCTTTAATAAATGAACCGCTAATGACATTAGCGGTTCTTTTTTAAAATCCGCTATTGTTATTAGCGGTTTATAGCCTTGGATTTTACAACCCTACACTAATACTACGTGTACGGTATCAAGGGAAATAGTTTTAAAACTGACATACATACGGAATTATTTTTTATTTTAGCATTATTTATGGAAATCGCTCTATTAAGTGTTTAAAATTTTTTATTAAAATTTAAAACCTATTTTTTTTTTAAAATTTAAAACCAATTACATAACAACACGTGTCATGGTAACTGGTTTAACAGGTTACAAGTTTTTTGTCTTGTTAAAATTCAACACCCCCAAAGGTTGTAATATTAAAAAATAAACAAAAGGTAGTATTATTAAAAAAGAACCGGCCAAAGATTGTATTATTTTTTGCAATTTTTCCTATACAATTAGAGTGAAGAAAAGTATTTACTAGGGAATTTTAGTGTTGGGATTTCTGTGTTCAAGACTGGTAAGTTGCTTAGGCTCCGTTCTGTAGAGCTGCTGTGCCTAGCTCTACTATGCTCTAATCTGCTTTGCTCTAGATTAATAATACTCCTTCAGTCCCCGATTGATAGTCACTTTTGCTAAAAAAAACACGGGAATTAAGGAGAAATACATTGAAAAAGTAAATTTACATTGGGTATGCAAAAAAAATAGAGAGAGAAAGTAATTAAAGTACATAGGAAAGTTAAATTTGCACAAATATTTTTGCAAATGTTAAAGAATTTTGGTAAAAAAAATAATATTAATGGTACTTGAAAAAAGCAAATGTGACTAACATTTTGAGTCACCAAAAATGGCAAAAGTGACTATCAATCGGGGACGGAGGGAGTAGTTAATAATAGAAGTAAATGGTTAATTCACCACATTGTTAAAATTAAAAAAAAAAAAAGAAGACATATTTAAAAAAATGACATATAATCAAACAATTGACTAGCCTAAACATCATTCTGAGGTTAACATTTTAGAAAAAAAAATTATACTTCGTACTAAATTTTGAGTTAGAGGCTTTGTAGATTTTTGGTCGTAGTAGGTGCAAATAGGTGTGTGGTGATGATCAGATAAATTCATCATGTAATAAAATTAAGGTAGTAAGTGATGGATCAAAAATATTTTTAAAAAAAAAGTTTAATTTCATGTTAAACTTTAAACTTTAAGAGTTTTTATAGGCCATAGAGGAGAAAAAAAAATACGAAATTATTTGTGATATACGAAGTGCAATATATAATGATCATATTGTTATTATAATGGTAAACGTAAATATACTTCGTATTAAGTTAGAGATAGTCAATTAAAAGGCAAATTTTTATGGATGGCCACATCGTGTGGCAGAGGTTACTCGAATTACTTGGTCAAGGGTTACTTGAGGGGTTCGGTGAGAAGTTACTTGAGGGGATCGGTCAGGGGTTAGTTAAATATTCGGTCATGGGTTACTTAAGAGGTTACTCAGTCAGGGGTTACTCAGACATGAGTTACTCGAGTTACTCGGTCGAGGTTTACTCTAGGGGTTCGATCAGGGGTTACTTAAGGGCTCGGTCAGGGTTAGTTACTCGGTCATGGGTTACTTAAGGGCCGGGATTACTCGGTCAGGTTTTATTCGAGCGGTTACTCGATCAGGGGTTACTCGAGGGGTTACTCGATTAGGGAATACTCGAGTTACTCGATCAAGGGTTTACTCGAGGGGTTTAGTCAGGGGTCTCGAGTTACTCAGTCAGGGATTATTTAAGGGGTTACTCGGTCAGAAGTAACTCGGTCAAAGTAACTTGAGTAACCCCTGATTGATTAACTCGAGTAACCCCGAACACATGGTGCGACCAGCCACATAGAAAAATCCCCCCATTTAAAAATGAGGTGGCCAGTGGCGCAAGTAGAAATGAGGGAAAAAATATGAGTTAATTAATGTGCGTATTGATTGTTAATTCATTGAGTAGAATTATTTTTCAAATCTTTCCATACAATTTAAGAATTAAAAAAAATGTTGTTTACAAGTAGTATATAAGTAAATCATTATTACTCATTTTATTTTAAAATTTGATGAAATGAATATGAATATCAAGATTTGTAAGTCGTACGTCGCACAAGTGCTATACTAGTATGTAATAATTTTTGCGTTCGCCACTAAATTTCGTGATTAGTCAATTAATTACATGGTTATGACACACACAAAATGTGAATAATTACAATTCTACATTGGAATTCTTCTTTGACTCAACTCATCTATGAAAGAGTATTAAATTTACTTACTTTTTCCAATCCATAAATATGAGTGAGAAATAAATATAATCATGTTTCATAAATAATAAATGTAGCTCCTTCTTATAAAATTGAATTAAAATTACATTAATTTTTCTTGTTACTTATGATTAAATATTATATGATTCAGTTCACTTTTAATAAATGTATCATGTCATAATTATATTATCAATTCTTATCATGCTTGTAAATAATTCATTAAAATAATTTATCAAACAATCCAAAAATCATAATCTTCTTACAATATGTCACTTAATTTTCAAAGTATATATAAAATACCTAATATGATACCATACAAATATTAAAAAATTCATATATGCATACATACCAAATAAAATTATGGTGAATAGTCACAACCACTAAAATCATCTCACTTGAATTCTTTATATCGTAAAAATAATGATTGTCAAAATAAACTTGCATAAATAAAATATTCTAAGCCTTAAACAAGAAAAAACCATCTCCTGTGAGAAAAAAAAACTTGTAGAAAAACTTCTGAAACGACTACTATCATCAGTAACACGTACACATCTAATCCCTTCCAATTTAAAGTAGAATCTCGATTTTGATAACTTTGATATATATTAGGAAAAATTAGAAAATAACACCCAAAATTGTCACAATTTTGATAATAACACCACAAAAAAAGTCTTTATTATAACACCACAAAAAAAAACCAAAAAATTGCTTTCACCACCACTTAACTTTGCCATCCAAAAAAAACCGTTAAGTGGGCTGACAAGGTAAAGTCGTATCCCCTAATCAAAAGTAATTCCTAAATCCTCTAACTAATGTAGATAGGGAAGTAGGGTCGAATCCACAGAGAAACGAGTCTTTCTACTTCTAATTAACTAATATAATCTAGATTATAAAGTAACCAATATATAAATTTGAATATGAAACTAAACTACGAAGATTAAGAATAGGGAGAAAACAATGAATAAAAGGATCTAGGGCATAGGTTCACCAATAAATAATATTCCAGGGTAGAATATAATAATCATTCATCAATGCATACATCAATCAGATTATAAAGGGCTTTCGCTACGTATTATAATCACACAATTAATTTACCGGTATTAAATCTCATCTTTCGAATCTCGACCTAACCATTTATAAATTAACCTGCCTATTGAAACTAGACCTAAAAATCAATACTCATCTGTCGAATCTCGAATCAATATTTTTCAAACTCATGCATAAAAGATCAGGTCTAATCTAGTCACAGAGCATTAAATCAATCAATAGGAAATTAATCTAGCATTGACAATCAACAACAATAAATTACCCCTTCATATTATTTATGGATCCCCTTAAACCCTAGAAAG